AATAATAAATAAATTTTTATATTATCTTATTAATACATAGAATCTTGAAAAGAACAATAAGATTTTTAAGTTCAAATGCAAGAAAGTTTCAGATTTGAAAGTTTATTGCGAAATTTAAATTATTTATTAAGTTATTAAGTAAAGTTACTATTGTAACATCAGAGAGTGTGAAGGAAATGAAATAAAATGATAATGATGTTGAACTGCCAATTCTACTAGAAATTACTATTTAACTGAAAACATTACTAGGTTATAATGGACTAGCAGACCCCACCACGCGTTATTGTGGCTCAAAATGTATCTATTATAAATTTATAACACTTCCCCCGTGGGGGGGATTTTTCAAAAAATTTCTTCTTAGTGCACATTTTCTTGATGTTCCCTATTAAAACGCAATCAAAAACGCAAAACCTGCATCTAAAATAGCATCATAGAAGCCAAGTTCTTCACAGTAAGCTTTAATCCTGTCTTTCTCCCCCGCGGGGGGAATATCGAAAAATTTGTTGTTAGTGTACATTCTGTTGACGTATCCTATTAAAACGCAATCAAAAACACAAAAACCCGCATCTAAAATAGTATAAATAGAAGCAGAGTTCTTTACCATAAGCCTTAATCCTAACCATCTCCCTTCAGTGGGGTTGAATTTCTACATGTATATTATATAAAAACATGTGCGTATTCGAATGCAGCGTTGTGTCAAAATTTCAAAGAAATCGGTAGGAACAAACAAACATTACATTTTTATTTATATAAATAGATAGAAGATGATCTGCTTTAGTTCATTTTCACAGAAAAGCAAACTTAGGGCGTCGTACTCGTAGCGCCATCTGTTGGACATAAAAGCCTTAACCTAGATTATATATTTTAATTTATATGAATGTTTAACGGAATAATATACAGCCTATGTCCACCCTGAGGTTCCATTCTAAATATTGGTGAAAGAATTTTTGAAATCGGATGGGTAGTTTCGGAGATTACCTGCTGCAAACAAACTTACATACAAACATTACCTCTTTATAATATTAGTATAGATAATAGAGTTTTTTGGCTGAAATTCTAAAAATTGCATTCCGCCTGTCTGCCTTGTTAATCTCCAGAATGGTTTTAGATAGATGAAAGCCGAAACCAGACATGGAAAGCTTAGGGAATAGGAAGTCCCAATTAACTATATACAAATTTACAGTGCAAACTGGAAGACAATTTCAATTTAAAAATTTCCCCAAAATGGAATTACATAGATGATTGGCACGACTGTCATTATTGGGAAAAGTAAGATGTACAGAAGCAAGATGCTACTAATTTGAAATCAACAGCATATATTTTAAATTAAATAAATTAAAAATATGATTAAAAATTGGAGTTTGGCATTGTGACGATGTCACAATAATTTTGAGTTTAATTGATGCCCCTAATACACAAACCTCCCCGCTGAATTTTAGAAATTTTAGACAAAAGGCACGGGAGTTATTAAGCTTCAAAATGGGCGAATAAAATGGCAGCGGAAGAACACCTCTTAACACCTCTTAACACGGCGTTTATTTTATAAATATCAACAATTCTTTCAATTATTGCCGGAGAGTTTCGTCAGTACCGTGACCTTGCCCCATTCGCTCATCCTGTTCCTATTCGATGGCTCGGTTATTTCAAAATTCTATCTTCTGTAAACAAGATTAATCGAACATTTACACACTTCCGTTCTTTACTTCGTTGTAATATCTAACAAGCGATTAAACACTATACAAATTCTTCACTATTTTCCCATGACAGAGGGAAAGTAACGAAGAATTAATTGCTTTTTTGCCATTTTATAATAATTAAAAATGTAAAAGGTTTTTAATAATAAAATATCGTAACAGATGGCGCCACGCACGCAGTTTTAAATGTTGCCGGGAAAGTTAAGCAACTCGTTGCTGGATTTTTTTAAGTGGCCGAATGCTGGTCGTAGGTCGCGTGTTCGTGCCAGGCCAACTGGATGGCCAGATGGATTTTCAAGGTTTTCTTCGGGGATATAACGCCTAAACAGGGGGCCATTTATAGAAAGTCCTCGCGGGAGGTACCCCCTTGGCAAATCATAGATGTGTCGCGTTGCCTTATCCCAAAGCAAATTAGATTTTATGTCCGTATATATTATTTACAGAGGAAAGAAATTAAAAAGTAACGAAATGTGCAAAAGTGTACACGAATAGTTCTTAAACCACGACGACCGGACAGCCGAAACAGTTGAGGGACGAATCTGGGATCGAATTTGGACGAAAAATCCCCAAGAATTTTTTTAGGCCCCGTCCTTCATTCGGCCGCCCTATTTAAGGGCCTGGCCGAACGGATATGGGGAAAAGGCCCGTTCGGTGCCCACGGGCGGAAAGAGTAAAAGAATATTATAAAATTTATTAATAAAATAAAAATATTGATATAAACCAAGTAAACAAGATAATAGTAGCGGGGTAATATCTGTTTGAATTAGTTTTTTTTATCTATTTACGTAAGCCAAATGGACTATTGAAACGAGAATTTTTGTCGAATCGATCAATAATACAAAGACGATGCATAATGGAGACCGTTTGCATAAATCCAAAATTACAGTTTCCTTTGTTTATATTCACGATAAATAAATAAATAAATATTTTTCTGTATATTAATATTCTTTCCCCTTTTAAATGTTTTGTATAGTATTAAAATTTACATACATAAAAGAAATTGTAATAATTAAAACGGACGGGCGGATGACCCTGGGATCAAATTCAGATAAGTTGAAAAGCCCCAGAAATTTTCGGGGGTCCGTTTAGATACATCGACTCCATAATGGGGATAAAAGAGGTCTCTTAGCGGCGACGGGGCGGACTGTTTTAAAATATTAATTAAAACGAAAATTTGTATTAAAAATCTACGATAATGTACAGAATTTATACGACTGACAATTCGATCTCTGCAAATACTGTCCTGTATACTTTTTTCTTTTCTGCTTATTTGACAGGAATTGTGTTATTATTGCCCAATGCCACGTCAGATAACTGAGAGCAACGTTAGATAACGTNGCACCATTTGAGCGAAAAAAAATTAAGGAAAAATTTTCTGTTAGCGAACCCTTTGTTATATATTTCGAATATCACCACTGGGTAAGTTTTATATAATATGGCATCCTCTGTCAAGAAACTAAAACTTTCATTCACTAAATAAACACAATTATGTCTCAGATTAACTAATTTTTGAATTTTTTAACACATGCATTCAAAAAATCTACTTTATTATATAACGGACTTTCGGCTTTGGCGGGTACTCCCTCACCCAAATTACTCAGTTAAAATGAGGTTTTAATGTAATAAAATAGTGAACTCTTTAAATATAGTAATTCTAGGTAGCTATAATTAAACATTTCATCTAATTTTATTAATGTTATTTATGGCTCTAACAATGCAATGTTGTATCAGAGATGTAACAAAATTCCACTGATAGAAAGAGCATCTATTTTTAGCATAAAATTCAATATTTGCACAAATAGTGTTAGTATATTTATTTTGATTTATCCTCAAACAATTCTAATTATTCTATCATGTGACTTTGAACAGATCAACTCAATTAAAATTTAATTATTAAAATTCTATGAATAAATATTGGCATTTAAGGAATAACTATGTTCTTTTAACAGATAATAAGTCCTTTGATTCGAACCAAATTGTTCGGCATTCTTTTTATATATTCAATGTTGTTATCATTTCAATACTACTCCTCTAATCAATTTAGGATCTTGGTAATGTTTATTTGGAATATAATTTTCAAGTCAGAAAATTATAAATATTCTTGTAATAATTCAAAGATAAATAAATCCTTTCATAAACTGTACTACAAAAATGTTTAAAATTCATTGTATTTTTGATAAAAATCACATATTCTGTTTTTATTGTTCTTACCTTTTCCTCCCCCTCCCAGAATTAAGTCTTATGGAAGACTTAGTATAATCGGAATCTCGACTATCATCCTTATCTCCGTTAGCAATATCCGCTTGACTCTGAGCTAAAGGGCATCCCGAAACTCTATGATGGACAGAATATCGTCCATCGATGTGTCCGCTACCGTCGCAACCAGGCGTGGGACACCTTCTGAAAAATAAATTTTATTTCATTGAGTATTCCAATTAGAATTTTATTAAAACTCTATGAAAAGCACATCAAAACAAAGATCAAACATTCTTTTAATGTTCACATTTGATTATTAAAATACTTTTACTTGAAGAAGGATCAAATAAGTTTTTCCAAAAATTCCCAATCTTCAATATTGAAAATATTAATAAATAAAAAATATTTCAAAAAGTTACTTAATAAATTTATTAACAATTTTTTATAAGATCAAATAAATTATCAATAAAAGCTTGATTTATTACACGATTGAATTAACTAATGAATATTTTAAATTTACCTCAATGCTTCGATCGTCCCACCCATATCGGTATTCTTGCGTAACAAGTCTACGACATTGTCGCTTAGATTCCTCGGAGGATCTAATCTGTCTTGCAGAGCAGTGTCTTTGTTCATATTGAGATGAGAATAAGGGCATCCAAATGCACTGTTTAAAATATAAATCAAATATCTTAATTATTAGACTTAATAATATAATGTGTACAGTTATAAACACTAAGAAATAATATTTTTGATCTATGCATCTTTCAAATATAAAAAATAAAAGAATTTATTTTAATTGATGAATATAAATTACAACAATGTGATGCATTAATATTGCTACATAATCTGCCAGATTTTATTAGACTATATTGAGGATACTTAATAGTCAGAATCAAAGGAATTTGGCTAGAGGTAGGCACTTTGGCCATCAACTCTTACTGCCTATTTCTAGCCAAATTGCTTTGATTCTGATTATTATATAGCCTTAATAATCCAATAAATTCTGGCTACATTAATAAGTGAACATGCAAAAATACATCTGATTTTTTAATCATCTTAGACTACAAATCTTATTTATTTTCCATAAATCTCCATTACATTTAAATAATTTTATTTGAAAAAATGTTTAACTTTTAATGTTCATAAATATGTAGTGCAAATTTACATACATCATCAACAATCATTGAAATTAATTAATAATTAATTATTTTAAATTAGTAAATAGTTAGTTCTTTTATATTATGATTAACAATAATTTGATATTTATAAAAAATAATGCATTTGAGTTAAACAAAAGAATAAATGATCATTTTTATTTATTCTTTGTTTTCTTTTTCCTTTGCTTAGCCACTCAAGAAAATATCAAAAAGATTTCTCTATAATTATTATTTTTTCTCAGAAATCAAGACAAATATATAAAAATATCTTTGAAAACAGAGGAAAGGCAATTGTTGAATGTCAATCGAAATCCAAATGATTTTTTCAGCATGATTACATTTATTCTTTCTAGCATAATAAACAGCAGGATCTTTCCACAGTTATTCTAAATATTCTTGTTTTTATGTACTAAAGTAATTAGAGTAATGTTCCAACCAAACAAAGAATATTAATTTCAATTAATATGGCAGACAGTATTTTTACAATCTAAAAAATATAGAAGAAACTAAATTGTCTTCAATTCTGACATATGTCTGCAAAGGAAGACTGTTTTCTTTCTGATGATTGGATGTGACAGAAATGAAGACAATTTAATTTCTTCTATATTTTTTTTAAATTGAAAGAATATTAAAATCATATTTTTGCTTTATGTAAGCTATAAAAAGTGATGAGAAAAAAAACTGCAAAACAAATTTTCTATTCCGAAACATTTTCATTTTTTCCTCATCATTTTGAACATGGTGTCAAATGCAAATGTTATTTCTTTTGATTATAAAAAGTTTCTTGGAATCAAAATTTTTATTTGGATTTTATTTTCCCTTATAAAGTAAATATTACATGATTTTTGTGCTAAAAAAGTATGTAATGGTTTATTGAATTAAACTGAAAATATAATATAGTATGAGCTATAAAAACTAACTTTTAAAATATTATTTACAGCGTTAATAAAAATAAAAACCACATTAACTTATTTTTAATTTGGTAAGCAAGAACTGAACTTATATTCATAAAATATAATAAATAAAAATATAAATAATATGATTAAAAGAACAATTTGAAAAATAGAAAATATATTTATTTATATATATATTTTTTTTATACTGATAAAGTCTAATGGCAGAACTATAAAGAAAATCAAGACTTATTAAAATAACAGCATATTTGAGATAAAAATTAATAAGAAAATCACAATCTATGGAAAAAAAAAACATTTATAAATTGTAAGCAGTAACAGTGAAACTGAATGAGTTTCCTATTTTTAATTACCTTGAAAAATCTTTACAAAAAGAATTTTACTCTCTTGATCAAAATAACAAATAAAACACAGTCTAACCTCTCCAATACAATATCTGTTACAACAATAAACCCCAGTAAATCAATAAAACTTCTGTGGTCCTGGCCAAAATTCTATACAAATACTGTAATTTATCATAGCTACAATGAAAGTAAAAACCCTGATACAATATGACTATCGAAATTTGCACGACCCATGGCAAACTCAAATGCTTCATCATGACTGATCAATACAGGAACCAAGTAGTAATGAGCTAGGAGTGCCTACTCACTAATCATGTTACCTATGGACCCTCCACGCACTCCAAAATGGTCTGCCCACAACTAACTAATTGGCGGCACTGCCACAGCCAATCCTACTATGAGGAACTGTAGGTGCTTGACCAATTGTGAAGCATTTCCTTTTTCTATCAGACAAGAGCTCTGGCTGTTGGCCAAAAAGAAGACAGTAGTGTATAATGGAAAAAAATGGCAAAAGCACAGAAACAGGTAAGTTTGAAAATGAAACTAAAACTTCAAAGATATTGATAGGGGAAATGAAACAAACAGAAGTTGGAAAGAAGTATGGCTTTGCTCAGTCAACCCTAGCAACACTTTTAAAGAAATGGAAGGAAATCGATTGCACTGTAGTCAGTGGAAACTTAGATTCTTCTTGGAAACGTCTGAAGACATCTAACTGTGATGATGTTGACAATG